ACCTCCTCTGTCCAACACTATATCCGAAGGCCCTCATATAATATAATATAATATAATATAATCAATAGTTTCAAAAACTGTGTTCTTCAATAAAAATGTATTGAGGGAAAATATTTTGTTTTAAGTTTACATGTTTTTAAAATTACGATTTTATTTTATAAATGTGTTTTATTATATATTAATAGTAATATTGTTTAAATATAATCTATTTAGGTATTACAATAATAATTTAAATATGGTGACCCATACTTGGAATTAGTGCTCTGCATTTAGTTGGGGGTTCGGTGCCTTGCTCAAGGTATTGTCGTGGTACTGAAGGTGGAAGAGAGCGCTGTACATTCACTCCCCCCACATACAATCCCTGCCGGTACGAGACTCGAACCCGCAACCTTTGGGTTATGAGTCCGACTCTAACCATTAGGCCACGACTTCCCCCACGACTTAATCTTTATTAGGCTAAAGGGTATTTATTAATGAGTGTGTTTATTGTAATTTCATGTGTCCTAATTGCAGTCATAATTCATCTTATAAAAACATGATAATTTAAACCCAAATATAATTATAAAATATTAGCCTATATAATAATACATTTCCAGGATGTTTTATTTGCAATATTTCTGCTATTAAAATAGCTGACCTAATCAATCATCATCAGCTCACTCAAAAGAACGACTCAAAAAACGGACATCATAAACAGAAACAGCCACATTATCTGCATTCATAATCTCACATGTCTCGTATGATAAAGACTCGCTGCATTCTCCTCTGTAAAATCACCTGAAGTTCCTGTCGGTTCCGCTAGAGGTCAGTGTTGTAGAGTAAAGCAGACGAACCGAGGACTGTATGCAGCCGTCATCTGCCAGCTCATTTTTAAATTCAAAAACATTATTTGAGCATTTTACACATTTTCCCTATTTTTTTCCTTCCTACTCTACTGCTAGACCAAGCCTTGATTTATCCAAATTTTATATGATATTATGTTTTTTTTTTCCTGTTTTAAGTATCAATATGCTCATTCTAGCTAACTAACCTGAAGATGCATGTTTTGTTTATTGTTGTAAAAGTTAAATGTGTGTGTTAGCCTTTAACCCTGTGGCCTTTTGTTCTGGTTTCTGACATATTTCCAGTTCCTCTTTCAGATCCGTGTTGAAACTCACATCTCGCTGTTAGCCTGCAGCAGACCTGGATCATCCTGGGCCTTCCTCTTTCACTCTCTGTGCTGCACCTGGAGCTTCCTGCACCCACTGGACTGAACAGACATTACTAGTTATGCACCACAGATTCTCCTGTGCTATTTCAATGACCAAAACGTAATAATATTTTTAGTATTTGTAGTACTTCAACATAAACTTATTTCAGTTATTTTATTTCAGTTATTAATAACTAAAACTGTTAATAAAAGTATTATATTTTTTAAATTTTATTTCAGCTTTATTTCAATTAACAAAAGAACTATTTTATAAATAGTTTTAGTTATTAATAACAATGCTGGTCCCAAGTTCTGTGTGTCCCGTATTTGCCATAAACATTTTTATTTTTTAAATGGAACGTTCTGTAAAACTGTGACACCAGGTTGTAAATATAAAATATAAACATAAACTAATAATAATACTGACATGAAAAGAAAAGAAAACAGCTCAAAAACAATTTCGTTTGACCACCTGGAGTGAACAAACAACACTTTCTGAAGGTTAAGCATCTCCTTTCTCTGAATTTTTTAAAGATTCAAGTGCTATTTTGTTACCTATTCATGGAAAGTGTCTGCTGATGTATGAATACTTTACTGTGTCACATGACACGTTTAAACCCAAAGCTCCATCCACTGCTATTTTGTACTATTGTACAACTATGGAGTCTTTTCTTTCACTCTCTGTGCTGCACCTGGAGCTTCCTGCACCCACTGGACTGAACAGACATTACTAGTTATGCACCACAGATTCTCCTGTGCTATTTCAATGACCAAAACGTAATATTTTTTTGTCCCAAGCAGTGGTTTATATATATATATTAAGTTTTCATTCTAATTTATGTTTTAGTAATTGTATGTGCTTTTGTAGTTTTTTCTATTTCCATTTAGCTTTATTTTTTTCAGCTTTAGTTTTAGTATTTGTAGTACTTCAACATAAACTTATTTCAGTTATTTTATTTCAGTTATTAATAACTAAAACTGTTAATAAAAGTATTATATTTTTTAAATTTTATTTCAGCTTTATTTCAATTAACAAAAGAACTATTTTATAAATAGTTTTAGTTATTAATAACAATGCTGGTCCCAAGTTCTGTGTGTCCCGTATTTGCCATAAACATTTTTATTTTTTAAATGGAACGTTCTGTAAAACTGTGACACCAGGTTGTAAATATAAAATATAAACATAAACTAATAATAATACTGACATGAAAAGAAAAGAAAACAGCTCAAAAACAATTTCGTTTGACCACCTGGAGTGAACAAACAACACTTTCTGAAGGTTAAGCATCTCCTTTCTCTGAATTTTTTAAAGATTCAAGTGCTATTTTGTTACCTATTCATGGAAAGTGTCTGCTGATGTATGAATACTTTACTGTGTCACATGACACGTTTAAACCCAAAGCTCCATCCACTGCTATTTTGTACTATTGTACAACTATGGAGTCTTTTCTCTTTGTTGGGAGATTTTTGTTGTCAAGGGACATGTCTTAAAGTTTACAAAGGCTTCTAAGAGCAGCCCGCACACAACTGAACTAGATCAATTACTCCGACTTGGCAAACAAGTTGAACAGTCTTTTGGGGACATGTGAGGCCCTTATAGAGCAAACATCTCAGAAACAGGCACGTTTTACGTCAGTGATGACATTTGCTTGTCATGTCCTTTGCAATGGTAAGCAGTTCTATGAACCTTTAACTGTATTTCATAAAAACAATCAATCAAAAATTGTGACTTACAAAAATGTGTAACATGCCTAAATAAAAATCATTGTCCATATCCTGGAAGGCAACTTAAAAATTGTAAGAAAATTGAGAATTTTACATGACTGATGTGCCTCATTACAGTAAGTAGGCTACTAACTTAAAAGTAAGCAAGCATTTCAGACTTACTGCGATTGTGGTTTGGGTTTTAGTGATCCTCTAAACTGCATAAAGAGCTGATCGAGGGCTATGTGTATATGGCATATATGGATATATGGAGGAAGAACAGACTGGCAGATGAGAATGTGGAATTTGAGAGCCGGCTGTGATGTTTGTACTGCAAAGCCAAGAACGTGTGCTGAGACCTCAGCTGATGGTCATTCTCTCTCTCTTTGTCTCTTTCTCTCAGTAGAAGTTTAAAAGGATAGTCCAACAAAACTGAAAGTCCTGTCATTATTTACTCAAGAGTCACATTGTCAACAAAAACATAAAAAAGCATCAAAATCTTCAGATGAAGAGAAATTTAAGCAATATTCACTGAAAACCTTGCCCTGCACTGTACACCCTGGTGAAAAAACAGCATATGCTGGTTAGGTATGTTTTGAAGCATGGCTGCTGGTTTAAGATGGTCCTTAGCTGGTTTAAGCTGGTCATGTACTGGTTTAAGATGGCCATGTGCAGGTCCAGCTCATGACCAGCTAAGGACCAGCTTAAACCAGCTCATGACCAGCTAAGGACCAGCTTAAACCAGCTCAGACCAGCTGCCATGCTTCAAAACATACCTAACCATCATATGCTGTTTTTTTTTTAACAGGGCATGTTAACAGTGTGCTAAGAACACGCTAGAACATGCTAGCAATGTAGTAAACATGCTAAAAGCATACTAAAATTAACAGGGTGTTTAAAACCTGGCTAAAACATGCTAAGATATGTGAAGAACATGTTAGCAGTGTGCTAACAACATGCTAGAAGTATGCCAAGTTAACTGTGCTAGCAACAATCTAAAATCCCTTATGAAAATTAACCATGGTTTTTACTAAAAATAAAACGAAAAAAACATGGTTACTATAGCCATGGTAACCACAAATTAACCATGATTTTGCTACACTATTAACCATAATTTAACCATGTTATTTTGCTAATGTGACTTACTGTTTTCAGCTAATTTTCACTGGCAAAATCATTTCAATAGGAATCCACACAACCACGAATTACACATGAGGGCGAGAGATTTCGCAGATTTTGGAACAGGTTCAAGTTGGTCATGTGGATTTGCCATGATGACAAACAGAAACTGCTTGATTTGAAAGTGTCTTGTGACTTGTGTTAGCTGTGCATTAAGCATCACTACACTAGAAAGTAGACAGACCTTTTTTGCCACAATTTCATAGTAATTTTTCTAATATGACCACACTTTTAGGAACATTTTAGCAACTTGCCAAAACATACTATGTTATGCAACACATTATGAGCATGATAAAACATGCTAGAAAAATGCTAGCAATGTGCTAAAACATGCTAGCTTTTGAAACTTGTCAGTTACATCTAGCAAACACGTTAAATCATTCTAATAACACCAAGGAACATGCTAACATCGCCTAACAACACTTAAGAAATAAGGATCATGTTAACATCGCCTAGCAACACTTATTAAGAAATGCTAACTATTAGAAACTTGCTAGCAGTTTGCAATTCTCAGTGATTATAATTGGGTCTAAAGAGGTTTATTGGGGACTGAACTGGTTTGATATGGTTTCTTGGGGGTTTAATGGTGTCCGAAGTGGTATAATATGATATTTGATTTGTTTTCCTGTCTTCATTTGACTTTCTTTCTGTCTGTCTGGCAATAAAACCTAAATGTCAACATCAAAGAATGTCATCAAATTTTAATCATCTAGTTTTTGCATGTTCTTTAATAAGACAACAGTTGTTCAGGGGTGGACTTTAAAAAGTTATGTAATTTTATGTTGTGTTTTTACATTTTAATTAAGTTAATTTAGTATAACTTAATATAAGTCATCCTGTGACCCCCTTAGATGTTTGAAGTTGAGAACATTCTGTCAAAGTACGAATCAGTCAGTTACAAACAACACAAACAAACATTTTTCCTGGAAATGTTTTATTTTTTTGTGACACAAACTGATCGGCAAAGTCATTTATATTCAACATCTTTACTATACAAATAGTCATTCACTCCTATACAAGAGAGCGTCTAGAATTTAAAGCATGCCCCGTAAAATGAAGCAGTCTCAAAGAGTCACTCCACCTATAGTGAAGCCTGTACACTGTACAAAAGACAAAGCAAGTCTCTAGACTAGTCATCCTTGATCAGGTAACTCAATGATATAGGCCTACACAACATCTGTAACATAATCTCATCGCCCTCATTAGTGCATTTACCCATCGAGTGACAGGAAGTCATTCATCTGACACCAAATAAATCACTTATCCTTAAAGACACTATAAAAAACTTCAAATCTAAAAATAACAGAATAAATAAAAGTAGAAAGATGTGGAAACATGAGCTAACAACAGTAAACAATGCCTTCTCACAAATCCTCAAGAAATGTGACCTGGACATGCTTTCATGAGATTCAGAGCCTGCAGGTCAAAGCGAAGGAGAAACACTTAAAGTGCAAAAACTATATACAAGTCTAGAACAGTTTACCATTCTATAGTTCAGGAGACTTGCCTGAAACAGGAACGTCCTTTAAGTGTGAAAAGTGAGTTTTAGCCATTATGGAGTGATGGCGCGTTGTGTGTGTTCAGTGAGAGAAGGTGTGTATGTCGTTGTGAAGGCTGACGATGGGTGAGGATCGCTCTCTCTGAACCCTGCAGAAGCTCTGGCTGCAATGGCAGCGCTGGATCCACATGACGTTACGCGTGATGTTCTCTCCATCTGGGCAGCGGAAGCGCAGACGCACCGTGCGGGATGAGGACGGCTGACAGCACCTGCCATCCACACACGAGCCACACGTACGAGGCCGGTAGCGTCGAGTCGTTGAGCAGCCAGCGAACGTGATCTGCTCCGGTTCCCGAGACCTCACCATTTGCCTGCACTTCTTTCCTTTCTACATGACATAAAAAAGCAACAAGAAATCATTCATATGAGTGATAAGCTTGAGCCTTTGGCTTCTTCTGGAACAATAGAGAAATACATGAAGTAACTGGCCAAATTTGATCTGAAACACAAGCTACTCAATATTAACTTCTTGTTTATTGAATTGTTGCATAAAAGCAATCAGTGTTGGGGAAAGTACTGCGTTACAACATTGCGTTACTCCATAAAAAAGTAACTAATTGTGTTACTTAGTTACTTTTTATGGAAAGTAATGCATTACGTTACTTTTGAGTTACTTTTTGTCACCTGGGCTGGACTTGATTATTTGTTTTTAATAACAAAAAGAAAAAAAGCATGTTATATTTTTTGCAACTGTAAAGGCCCTTTCACACCATAAGTGAAATTAATAAGCCTCCGTCTGAAGGAAGTGCCTCTGCACCTCATTCCCAATTTCTCTCAACACGGGGTAAGGAGAGCTGTCAGTAAATATAAATGGGAAAACAAAGTAACTTGCGCTACTTATTTGAAAAAGTAACTCAGATATTTCATTGTAAATTTAAAAGTAATGCGTTACTTTACTAGTTACTTTGAAAAAAGTTATCTGATTACATAACTCGCGTTACTTTTAATTGTTTTACACTCATGAACAGTGAGTGAAAATGGACCATATTTTTGGTCAATTTTCCTTGAAAAACATACAACAAATTTAAAATGCACATAAATGCTAAAAGTCTTGTCTTGTCAGCTTTTTTATTTTTGTACACTGGCATATGAATGAACTCACAGTATATGGGTTTATGTACGTATGATTGTATGTATACTCAGTGCTAACACTTTATTTCGATAGTCCACTTTAGGCATTCTACTAGCTATAAGTAACTTTGCAACTACATGTCAACTAGCAGTCATTAGAGTACTAGTCGACTGTCTGCTTAATGTAAGATAAGACTTTATTTTGATGGTCCCCAACACACAATCTACTGACTATAAGTAACTTTACTAACACTCTACACTCTAATGAGAGTTAGTAGACATGTAGTTGCAAATTAATGAGTGTTAGTTAACATAGAGTTGCAAAGTTACTTATAGTTAGTAGAATGTCTAAAGTTGACTATTGAAATGAAGTGTAACCCGCTCATTTCACTACAGTATCTCACCTTCATAGCTGGAGTGATGTCACATTCTCTGATCTGGCAAAGGCGAGTCTCTCTAACAAGCCTGCACTGTGCATTACTATTAGTCACACGACTCGAGATGCCAAACCCGCAGGAAGCAGAACATTCGGACCAGTCGGTGGTCTGTGGGAAACATTCGGATGATGGGAAGGGAACCCGAGACATAGGCAAGGATGCCCACTCTGCAGGGTAAATGAGAACGCAAAGCCATGATGGACACATTTCACAGGTTGCTAGGGCATTCTGGTGGTTACTAGGGTGTTCTGGGTGGCTGCATACTGGTCCAAGTCAAATGAGCCCAACCCCAAGTCTCATTTAAAACTGTTAAAAACTCATTTGAACTATGTAACTAGTTAGTTAATAGTATAACTAATTATAAACAAATGTATATATATAAATGTATATATACGTATATATACACTTTATGGTTTCATTTAGGTTAGATACATTGTTAATTTTGTGAAAGTACTTTTTAAAAAGTTA